GCAATGTCTTGCTGACATAATTGATGGGCATATGTTGAATTCCTTCCGCACGGACCAACACTGCGCTAATTGCATGCTGAGAGACTGCAAGGTATAGGAAGAGTTCTTCTCTTCGTATTGGGGTGACCAGCAATGGTGGAGAGGACATGTATTCCTTCAGGCTTTCCAGTGCTTGGTCGCATTCTTCGTCCCATTCGAACTTGGCTTTTAAAGCTTGAAAGAATGGTCGTAGTCTGTCTGACGATCGGCTTATGAACCGATTGAGCGCGGCCGCCATGCCGGTGAGATGTTGTACTTCTTTTACTGATTTTGGTCTATCCAAATCTTGAATTGCTTTGATCTGGGAGGGGTCCGCTTCTATACCCCGGTTGGTCACAAGAAAGCCCAGGAATTTGCCAGATCCTACTCCGAATGCACACTTTGATGCGTTCAGGCGCAACTTGTGCTTTTTCAGAATTTCAAACATCTCTCCTAGGTCCTTGAGATGGTCATTCTCATCTTTTCTTTTGACCACCATGCCGTCGATGTAAGCCTCCATCGTTCTTCCTAACAATGGTTCAAACATCTTGGTGACCATTCGTTGGAATGTTGCCCCTGCGTTCTTCAGGCCAAAGGGCATGACCGATCAATGGTTTGGATTTCTGAGGGTTTTGTTATATCGTTGTGAAGAAAAAGGGTTGTTCTTGTTCTTCTTCTTCTTCTTCAACAAGTGATGATTGACTTTTGCTAAGTCGAAGGGATCAACGGTGGGGACAACTCTATCTCTCTCCCTTGCCGCGTTGAGATTCATAGAGCTCTGAAGAAAGCTTTGTTTATGTTGATTGTTCTCGTTTGGATCCGAATTGGAGAAGTCCAGTTCTCGAATTGGAGCATAAGAATAGCCTCTGGTGGAGCTATTTATAATTTGGGACCAGTCCAGCCTGCAAACAAGCTGAGTCGAACTGAATTTAGCGTTCGCCTGTTAGGATTTATATGGGATAACTGAAGGGTTGATTAGTGAATAGGGATAAACAGCTTGTTCTGCTACACTTTTAAACACAGTGTATGATCTTTCAGATCTCGTCCTCTCAGACCTGGAGTGACGAGTCCTGGAAGATAAGGGTCCAGGCGAACACTTCGATGTTAGAGGTTAAGAATTCCAAGACCTCTAATCTCTCAGTGCTGGACAACGACGAACCGAGCAAAAAGAACTTATCCGGGTTCTTTTCATCTATTTTTACCTCTACCAAGTCCTCCACTGCTTTCTGATCCGCCGCTTTGCCGACATCTGCGAATAGCTCATTACTCTCAGGTTCTTCCACCGAATGAACGTATCCTTTGGCAGCGCGGCTGCCATTCACCGTGACGAAGCATTGCTTCAACATGATCTGATCTCCATAGACTTCTTCAATTACACCGGTGTCGTTGGGGAACCGCATTACTTGGTAGTAGGATGACGCCACCGATCTCATGGCATGCAGCCAGGTTCTGCCCAAGATAATGTTGTAAGTGGAGGGGACCTTTAATACCCAGAACTCCACTTGTTTCGTCACACTTCCTGCTCTGACTGGATGAATTATTTTGCCGACGGGCCATTCTGGCATAGAGTTGAATCCAATTAGAGGTGATACAGCAGGCGCCAAGTCTTTGTCTTGTAGCTTCAGTTGTTTAAATGTTTCGTAGTACATGATTTCACATGAACTACCCTGGTCAATCAGAATCCGCTTGATGTCAAAATCCTTGACTCGGAGAGTGACGACCAGGGCATCATTGTGAGGGCAATATATCTGTCTCTAAGTCTTTATCCGAAAAAGACATGACGTTTGTTGCCTCTGTCTTCCCCTTCTTGGTGGCAGGTTGGGCATTTAGCACCTCTCGTAAGTGTTCAGCCTTTTTGATTGATCATCTGAGCTCGTATACACGCTCAGGTTCAAAGACCCCATGTACCACATTGATAACGCCTTGAGGTGGGGCGTCGACTGGCATCCCGTTGGGGTTATTGTGATTCTGGGGGGTTGGTTGCGTTCCTCCTTCAATGTATTTATCCAAGTGTCCTGCTGCCACCAATTCCTCCAGGTGTTGTCTCAATGGCGTGCAATTCTCAGTGCGGTGTCCCTTTTCTTTATGGAAGGTGCACCGTGATCTTTCGTCATAGTCCTTCTGCGCTTCCCTTAGTTTGGCTGGCCATCTGACGAAAGGCTCATCTCTTATTTCACTTAGAATCCGATATATCGGTTTCTTGAACACCGTGGTTATGGCAGTGCGGATTCTCAACCATCGTTTATCCGGGTCTTCTCCATTATCTCGTCTGCCACGCCCGTTTCTATTCGGTTGATCTACCGTATTAACCTTTGCTAAAGTTTTCTTTTCTGGTACTGTGGTCGTCCCAGATTTTTCTTTGGCACGTGCGCCATCCTCTTCTACCCTGATGTGCTGATGTACTCTTTCCATCAAGGCTTCCATGGTGAGGGGTGGCGTCATGGTGATCGAGTCCCTTAGTCTGTTCCCGACTGGAAGGCCTTTTTTATATTATGGCGGGGTCATGGTGATTGAGTCCCTTAGTCTGTTCTCGACTGGAAAGCCTCTTTTATATTGTGCGATGGCGAGATTGGTGGGGCAGTCCCCAATCTGATTGAATGTCTCCCAGTAGCGACTATTGTAGGATCTTAGGATTTCTTTTTCGCCCATGTCGATGGAGAACAATTGGTCAATCTCCACCGGGGTTTTAGTGTTCGTTCGGAACCTTGTTACGAAGGCCTCTGCCAATTGCGCCCAAGAGGCTATGCTGCCCTCTGGAAGTTTCTCGAACCAAGTCAAGCCTAGGTCGCCAAGGCTAGATGGGAAGAGTATGCACATTAAGGCCTCGTTTCGCCTGTATACGGCCATGATCTGGCGAAAGTGGCGAAAGTGTGAGTAGGGGTCCGTCTTCCCTTCATATGTAGTGAATTTGGGCTGAAGGAAGCCTGATGGTAGGGGTGCGTTTTCAATCGCCGGAACAAACGGCGAAGTCTGCAGCCTCGCTAATGCTTTGTCCGTTGGTTCGTAGGCAGGGCGCGGTATTGGCGTTCCAACCTCGACGCTTCCATGCGTCCGAGGAGCCAATCGCTGTAAGGCAGAAACTCTGTGTGGATCCCGTGCCCTGGCATCCTTCTTGCATCGTGCTTTTTCTTCGAGCACGGTTCGTAAGTCAGATGATTTGGGTAACTCTGTCTGTCTAGATCTGGTTTGGTGGGTATGTGAGGCCAATACGTGCTTCCTTCAGTGTATGATCTTTCAGATCTCGTCCTCTCAGACCTGGAGTGACGAGTTCTGGAAGACCAGGATTGAGTATCACCTGTCCTGAGGCTTCTACTCTCTCCTTGCGAGGGTGTGGTATTCCTACTACGATTTTCTGAGTGGCGAGGGGGCGTCTTGTTTTTACGCCCCCTCTCTTGTCGCCACTTCTTTTTTCTTCATCTGGCGCTTTAAGGCCTCCATGTCCGCCGCCATCTTCCTTATCAATTCGTCTTGCTCCTTCACGTGGTCCTCCAGAACTTGAGGATCAATCCTCCGTCTTTGCTTGTCAGGACTTTGTGAACGAGAGCGATGGAGGCTGTGTATCCGTCTTCCCCTAGTATCCCTCCTGGTGTTATGTCGTTGGGGCTCTAAATCTGGCATGAGAGGGATAGAAGGTGGTCCTTCATGCCTGGCCCCCCCATCTGGTGTTTGCCCGTCGATGGCGGAATGTGGCAATTCTTCAATGTGCACCATTGTTTGTAAAGAGAAGAAGCTTTTAGTCAAGAGGTTTTGTTCTGTCTGTAATTCCCACATACGGCGCCAATTGTACGGGAAAGAAATAAACCTTCTCGTATAATCCTGTTGACCAAGTCTACTCTCCTCCGTACGTCGTCGCTTTATCACCTGAAAACACAAACGTGAGCTAGCCGGTGGGTGTGTGCCGGAAACCTCTCCGATGCCTAAGTCAGTAAGCTTGACAAATAGACAAAAGCTCCGTGTATTCAAAAAGAAAAGTTGTGTGTTACCCCTCTAAAGGTGATGTTTGTGAGCTTTCATAGGTTTCGTGTGGCACAATCCTAGTAGGACTTCTATTCCTCCATGCAGAGTCCTCCTAGGATTCATACTCCTGAAGGATAATGCTTATCCTTTAACACCCCCCTCACTGCTTAAACCAAGTGAGATGGTTTTATCATGGCCGAACTCCAATATGACCGAAGTAAATATGTTTATGTACAGTCGAAGAGTAAGCCGAACTAACTCTTCATTTTATTGCCCTTACAGCGGCTCCTTATGCACAACCCAAGGCGTGGTCAGACCGAACTAATATTTCGAGACCGGTGTAACTTCAAGACCGGTCTAATTCCAAGGAACCTTTAGACCGATCTAACTTCGATCTTCTACTGGACCGGTCTAGCTTCACGTCCTTAGGACCGGACTAACTCCAAAATATCGCACGACCGGAGTATCTTACATGGCCATTTCACTTCGGCCCTTTATACTGTGGCTCATAACGGCCCATCACCTAGCTCGGCCCAATTTTCACATAAATTACCCTCTCAATTGTATAGGTGAACAGTTAGAAATTTTATTTTTTCAATTAATTTTATTAAATAAAAAATTTCTGACAGAGAGATATTTATAATTTTTCAAAGCATAAGGGACAATTTATATTTTAAGTAAATCTCAAAACATGTATTTATAATTTACCCAATTAATTATTATCATTTAAGAAATATATATATATATATATATATATAAGATAGTAATTGATTAATAATTAAAAGAAATATAAAAAACAAAATTATTTGAGATATTTTAATAAATTAGCACATTATCCAGTTTAGAATATAAATCTATAATGACATAATGATAAATGTATCTTCTTCTATTCCGGTTTTATTCGGGTTTGTCGTTAATTTGATCAATTACCGTATTTTGCTTTTTCTGAGTTGGTTGGGTTTAGCGTTTGGTACGGTACCTGGTTGAGGAGGGAGGTTACGCCGCCGTCAATTGAGGGGGGGGATGATGGCGTCCTGTCAGTGTCGCTGTGTGTGTCTAATAGTAATACCAGCTGCAGCTACAAATACGCCTCCGAAATTTCCATTGTCGTCGATTCTTGAGCTGAGAGGAAGTACAGGAATAAGAAGGAGATTTTCGGGCATTTCTTCCCCAAGCCCTAGCTTTAGCTTCAGGGGAAGACAAAGACAATGCCTCCTCTTCAACATAAATTCTGAGTCCACTTGTACTACTAGTGGTCCCTTTCATCGATGCAACTCTCAACTGGGTGGAGACCTTGCCCCTGCTACCTCTGCAGCCTACGGAGTGCTTCTCCTTGTTGGTGGTCTTTTTGCCTGTATGTTCTTTTTCTTTTCTTTTCTATAATCATATACCAGCATTTACTAATAATATAAAGGCAATTACAGAAATCACAATTCAATATTGAAACCCAACAACAACAACCGACCTAGCAAGCAAAGTTTCAGAGAAAGTGATGTGATAACTTTTTTGACTAAAATTTCATGTTGCCAAACAACAGGAATTGTGGTGGTGGGTATTGGTTGTAGGGTTTTGATGGTTAACTTGGAGTTGGAGACGAATAGGTGGTAGGAGAAGTGATTAGGGTTTATTTAGGCATGTTTGGGTAGAGTTTTGAGACTGACAAGTTCATTTTCAAAGGGTTGTAATGTAAACATTAACTCAAGAATATTGCTTTGTTTATTCCCGCAAAGAAGAAGGAGAAATAAGATAAGAAGAAGAAAGACGTGTTTCACCCTTGCAACGTTTAGACAAATTCACACAATTACAATATCAAATTATCATCATAATATCGTCTCCATTAAATCAATGAGATTACATGTTTATTTATAGACTAAAACTCTTCTATTTCTATAAAGACTAGTACTCAAATTTAGAAGTTAAGAATAATTAACTAGACTGAAAATAAAACTTAGGTTAGCCTATTTCTATAAGGATTAGTTTAGGACTCAAATTTAAAAACTAAGAATATTTAACTACGACTGTAAATAAAATTCAGATAATATTACTTGACTAATTTATGACCCATGATCTGTGACTACTACTAAATCCTAATATAATGATATGAAATCTCCAACAACATACCAAATTAAAATAAATACAAATAATGATTCAAAATTATTTCAAAACTTTACTCCATGATGCCCTAAAAATGCTCCATGTGAAGTTCTAAATTTGCCTGTTTTCTTCTTGTATGCTCTTTTTGTCTTGTTTAGACTTGGAACGATGGGATGAATTAATTTGGCAATTGTTAGTGATTTTGAATTAGTTTGTAGATCTATTCTATTAGGTTGGGTTAAATTATTTGAATTACATATTCAGTGCTGAATGTATGTTTTCATTTACATTTCCAATATGGTGTTATATGTTACCTCAACCTTAGTAGCTTTGAAATTCAATAAGTAATTACTTTCATTATTATATGTATCGTTCTTTTGTTGTCAATGGAATTTTCTTAGAATTTCATTTCTTTCCTTTCCAATTAGTTCCAAATACACACAAAGGGATTTTCTTGGAATTCCATTCCTTTCCCATTTTGAAATCCAATTTCTAAAAGGATTTAGTTATCATTTCTCCTAATAGCTTGCAATCTAAACTTGCTCAGTTCTTGGCAAAGAACCAAACGAAACATGTACACACTCTTTGATCCATTTTGCTACTGTTTTGACTACCTAGAATTATCAGGAATTGCTAGTTCTAAATTTTTTTTAATACATTTTTTATTATAGCTACATTTTTTAATTCTGCAAGCAGATACAAGAACAGGAAGCAAAGGATCGCTTCTAGGAGGCCTTACTGGTGGATCTCTAATGGCTGCAGTAAGTGTTCCAGCAACATTGCTTTTTTCTGTGTCTCTCACATGTGCTTATTGCAAGTTACGTTATTATGAGTAACGTTTGGGAATAAGCTATTTTAGTAACTTTTTGATTTTTTTTACGAAAAGATGTGCGAAAAAGTAGAGAAAGTGATGTGACAACTTATATTAACTTTTTGGCTTTTTGGCTAAAATGTATAGTTGACAACTTAAAGTATCGATTGTTGGTTTGGAAAATATAGTGGAAGCAATTTATTTTAAAATTCTAGAGCTTGGATCATGTGATCATATTGTTCTAGTGAGATCAAGTATGTAATCATACCTTTGTGGCTCATGAGACAATTGCCAATTTAATGCGCAAACGCATAGGAACTTTAATCGCGAACACCGTCAAATTTCAATTGGATCTTGATGAAGTTGTTGATTGAAGGTTAAGTCTTGATGTTCCAACAACTCCTTGAAGGTTTCTTGGTTCTTTCTTCGTGCTCAAAAGCCTTCAATCCAATGTCCTTGGGGAGAACTAGCCAAAAGTGGATAGTGGGATCCAAAAACGATTCACCAAAAACCGGGTCACATTTTTTCATGTGTAGATACACCTTTTGGCTGGTCAATAGTAAATTTGCTAATGTTCTCCCGGTAAGGCTTAGATTGGGACCTTTGAGCTCTCTTAAGTTCTAGCTCCAATTGGACTCTACATTTTGTCTCATGGCTAGGGCATTGAGTAAGTTCTAGGGTTCTAACTGGAGCATGGTCAATGCTTTTTTAAAGTACCAGCAAAGAGTGAGAATTTTGTGGCATCCTTCTTTTACGAATTAAGGTCTCTCATTTCTACACACATCTCTGTTTTCCTCATTGTTATCAACAAGATTGAGATTCAACTTAAAATGGGGGATTGCTGTTTATACTCTAGATAACCTGTAGTATTTTCTAGTATAGCCCCTGTAGACCTAGTCGAGGATCCAATAATAAATCATGTCCTGTGTTATTGTAGGGCATTCTTTGAACTCAGGCTAAAAGGATCTGTTAGTCCATTGTGTATTTATTCATTACTTTTATGGTAGGCATTGGCTAGATTTCAGTTTTAACTTATATTGTGTAACGTCATTCATCATTGAACTCATTTGGGCTCAGGATTTTCTACTAGTGTGAACTACCCATAGACATGTAGTACTTCAATAGTTTAACATTGTTGGCTATATCTAGTTGGTGAAGGTATCTTGTGAATAAGAATATCCATCTAAAAGTCAAAATCATGTCAATCTAGCAACTAGTTGGTACATTATTTTCTTTAGTTGCCTTCTCTCTCTCCTCTTCCCTCTCTCTTTTGTTTCCAACATTAATATGCACTTCTAGCAGTAAAAGGTTTTGGTAGTAATGTGCTGAAAAAACTGAAAAAGCTAAACTCATCACATAGATTAACATTGCTGTTGATAGAATAGAGGATGCATTAGTATATTATTTATTGTTATGTAATAGATGTGGTGTTAATGTACAGGCTTACTTTCTTATGCAAGCATCAGAGATGAAGGAAATAGGGGATGCCCTTGCGTTTGGATCCACCTTCCTCTTTGCGTCTGTATTTGGTATGCTTTCTCATGTCCTCTTAATGTTTCTCATAATCACAATCAATTTTGTTGTATAGTTCTAAAGTTGATATATATATATTAATTTCTAATTTTTGCTGTTACAGGTATAAGATTGGCAGCTACTCGCAAAATAATTCCAGCAGGGCCTTTGTTAGGTCTTTCCATCTGCGCGTTGGCTGTGTTTATCTCAGCCTATCTGCAAGATAAGTCTCTGATGTAAGATATGTTCCCTAAACAGAGTGGTTACATTGATTGAATCTTGGCAATGCTACTAGAAATGGAAAAATTGCAAGGTATTTGATTTTATATGATGTTTTTGTCCTCCTTTTCTGTTCCTAGATTGAACTAGGAGCTGTTGTTTTTCAGTACTAATTTCTCCTTTTCATAAGATCCGTATATTATACACATTCAAAGTAAATTGCAAATTTAAATGACATAATTAACTCCTTTTCATAAGATCCGTATATTATACATATTCTGTTCCCGAATTGAACTAGGAGCTGATGTCTTTCAGTACTAATTTCTCCTTTTCATAAGATCGTATATTATACATATTCAAAGTAAATTGCAAATTTAAATGGCATAACTAACTCAATTTTTTATTCAACAAAAATGATTTAAATCGTTGTGTTTGAAACTTGTATCAAATTGTATGAATCAAATTATGATCACGCTATTCAAACAAACATGCTTACAATTATGGATTCTGTGTAAATTGATTTAAAGTGTCACGCGCCTATTTTAAGAGTTAGCATGGAAAAAATAAAGCTAAATCCAAATTCAAATTTAAGTGTGAATGAAGTGAGTTAAACCAATTAGTGCAGTGTTTGAATTTAGTTCATTTATTAATCGAGCTTGAATTCATGCTCGAACTGAATTTGAATACATAATCAAATTCAAACTCGACTCGTTAAATATTAATCAAAGCTCGAGCTTGAGGCTTGCGTTGGAAGCAAAATTCATAATTCTAAGTATTATTTTACATTATTATATACGTGTCATACATTTTATGGTATTATTTATGTATGTATATGTAATAGTTGAGTGGAACTGTATCAAGCCGAACTTACTTTAACATTCAAATGCTACAGACTGATTATAGGGGAAATCTCAAGTGGCATAGTGGAAGATATATATATATATATATTTGTGGTTTGTGCCAGATGCGGATTATCTCCTGATATTCAGAAATCACTACATAGCCCCCATGTGGTTTATGGACTAAAATGCACCGTTAGTTTTTTTTGTCTAAGATAATGGGCTGTGTGAGTCACACACCTATATAGAGAGTATGTCTACTTTTACGATGAAAATGCCCTTATACATCTTCAAATTTACTAAAGAATGCCATTCTTTTTCCTCTTTCCGTACTCTATTTCTTTTCCACCAGCACCTCCTATTCATGCTGGTATGTTTCTGATAAATTAAACCCTAGAAAAGTATCCACATGGGGCTAAAATAGCAATAACCATAGAGTTTTGATTACCACCATGATCAAAATGATTTGTTACTATAAGATTTTTGGTCACTTCTGTGTTGTAATGTTGTTTGTTTTGTACAGTATGTATTTGTGTTTTGTTTGATTGATTTGTAAATATTATTCCATGAATCTGATTCCATGGATGGGTCTTTCTCATGAATCTGATTCCATGATTGATTTATCATTCTTAGACTTTATGGATGGGTCTTCTTTGATTTTATCATTCCCAAATTTTCTGTAACCCTTTGATTTGGTTTTAATGGCTTTAAAGTTGGAACAAATAATTCTTTAAGTGAATCAGTAAATAGTTCTCAGTGAAAAATTATCTAGTCCATCTCGATATTGAATGACCCTTCTTGGATTGTGCTAGTTGCTAGGAAGGGTATACATGACCCTTCTTGGATTGTGCTAGTTGCTAGGAAGGGTATACAGTATGTATTTGTGTTTTGGTTTGATCGATTTGAATCTGATTCCATGGTTTTTGATGAATCCATTATGTTTATAGCGTGCGCGCACAATCTCTCTCTCTCACACACACACACACACACATATATATATATATATATATAAATTATGCATGTGTATCATATTATGTTTACAGTCTATGATATATATTAGATATATTTGTGGAATATACAATCACTGAAACCTATATTGATTTATATATATATATATACCCTTCAAAATTCGAGCTATTTACGAATTAGGTGATCATATATGTATATGTATATGTATCTATATACATATACATATATAGCAAGAATTAAGCGATCTTCAAAGGTAAAATTTTTAAGAAATTGAGGGGGAGAAATTAAAAAAGGGTTTTGTTGTGCGTTTTGTGCGAAAGGCAACACTCAAATTTTGTCTCCGACAACGAATTCCATCAAGCAAATAGATACAAGGGCTCCAATAATAATAACCATGGTTGCTGCCATAAGAGAGAGAAGATGCAAGAAGAACTTAAGTTAGATGAAAGGATGAAGGATGTATCTATATACATATACATATATAGCAAGAATTAGGCGATCTTCAAAGGTAAAATTTTTAAGAAATTGAGGGGGAGAAATTAAAAATGGGTTTTGTTGTGCGTTTTGTGCGAAAGGCAACACTCAAATTTTGTCTCCGACAACGAATTCCATCAAGCAAATAGATACAAGGGCTCCAATAATAATAACCATGGTTGCTGCCATAAGAGAGAGAAGATGCAAGAAGAACTTAAGTTAGATGAAAGGATGAAGGCGGCAAGGGTGAGTATAAAAGTCAATTTACCATTGCTGTTAAAAGAAGTTAGATGTGCACTTTGGTCTATAAACTACATGGGGATTGTGTAGTTATTTTTGAATGTCAATGGATAATCCACATTCGGCCCAAATCATAAGGGGATAAAGTGAAATTTATCCTATATTCATCAGGTGCAAGTTTATGTGCGTTTGGTGTAAGTATTTTTGTGTATTTGGTACAATTTTTTTTTTATCATCAAACTTATACTCAAAAGATTCTCATAAGTGGTGCAATTTTTTCAAACTATCCGACTGATTACCAATGTCCTATACTTATATATCATTGTCTATTATCTTCTTTTTAAAATAAGAAAAATAAATAAAAAAAGAACCAATTTGAATACTCTAACCCTAATCATTGTTCATCTACCCCTTTGTTTTCTTTTCTTTTCCTTTCATTTCCATTCCCACCAACACCACCCATTTACATCAGAGGGTTCGGGGAGCTACTGTTGGTGTTGGTAGGTTCATGAATCATGATTTGTGTTCTAGCATTACATATATATACATAAAGTTGATAGGGCCATATGTACACAATCAAAAGAAAATAGGGGCAGAGAGATTGTTGAGAATCATGTGGAGTACATTGCACTCTAACAAACACATCACAAAGGTCATGAAATCCTTGCATCAAAAAGGAAAAAGAAAAGGTCAAAAAAGTTGGATATGAATAGAGAGGGAATGAACATTTAGTGCATTATATATCAAATGAAAAAAACCACCACTAGCACATTCTCATATGCAATTATTATATTAATATGATGGGAATATTTGCACGACGGCTTTACAAATTCTAATCCTGTGATGTGTGGAGATGGATGTATTTTTACAAAAAGAACTTACTTTCTTTCTTTTTTTTATTATTACTTTTTTTTATTATTATTTTTAAGTTTTCATAACCTGGCTAATGATTATAGAGAGGAGAGAGTATGTGGCTTGTAGAGCGGGTATAGATTTTACTTTTTTTTGTTGGGCAGTGGAGTTTGGATTAAAAATTTAGTGTAATATTACGTCATTATTGAAATATAATATAACTGTTTAATAATTATAATATAAGATGAATGAATTTTATTATTTAAATATAATTATAGTTAAACACAATCTAATAAGCATAATAAGATTCAATAGATTTATATGTTCATATCATGTACTATTGATGATATGGTTATCACCGCTCTGTTGAAATTTTTTTGTCAAGGAAGATAGATTGTGTTTTTTTAGTTGGGTCATGTTAATAATTAACAGGTATCATTTGATTTGAAAATTCATGACTCAGACTTAGTATTGTTCAGTTCAAGAGATTTTTACCTAATCCAAAGATGTACCAAAGAGGGCTAGTTTTGCCCGAATAAGATTTCCGCTGGCTGCCTAGGGTTTGAAGCTGGGCCAATTGGGTCGCTAGAGGTGGCTTGTCGGCTAACCCACCAGTTGCCTTGTTGGTCCGTTGACTTGTGAAAGGCAACTTGATGACCAGAGTGATGAGACTAGAAGAACTAGAAAAATAGACAAAAAATGAAAGGAATTTTTTTTTATTTTTTTTATTTAAAAAAAGGCTTCAATCTTGACTCGTTAACCTGTGAGAGATGGCATGCCAACTGGAGTCAGTTTAGACCTAGTCTGTTGGGTAAGGGTTGTGTCTAAAATTTTGAGCCGTTGCCCTGGACTCAGCTTTTTTTTGGGTGACATGGATATCATTTTCGTAATGTGGCATTACCTGATGTTAATATATACTTTATTAGTGCGATTGAAAACATTTGCCTCAATTTTTTTAGTGACCAGTGTTTACTGTTTTGTGAGAGAGAGAGAGAGGATCAATAATGGAGGAGAGAATTGGAATGAAGGGTGAGGAGGGATGGTGGGAGGAAGAGTTGACTACCTTTAGGGGGATGGGGAGAGTGTTTACTTTCATCATTGCGATCTTTGTTTCCATCATTCAATGAGAAGAGAAGCCTCTCCGAAAAGGACCCTCCACCCCCTCCACTCTATTTTGTCCTTTTCCGTGTTCTTTATTCTGGTCGTGAGTCATGATTTACACCATGCCTCTGTTTGATAGGAATTATTTTCAGTTTATTTTAGATTTTAGTTTAATTTAAATTATTTTGATGTATTTGGTTCAACTTAACAATACATTTTATAGTTTTTTGTAAGTCAAAAATCAACTTATTCTTTTAGTGGGAGAAAAGAAGCTTAATTTATAAGTCAAAAATCAGTTTATGTTCACAGCTATAAGCTTTAAGCTGTTAGGCTATAAGTTATAATTATTTTTCCACAGCTCTACCAAACGGGACCAATATCAGGCTCTTCTCCGGTTGTGTTTTTTGATTGGAAAACGCTGCTGAATTTTCATGCCTAATACGTCTCGTTTGGGAACAAGTGTTTTAATGATTTTTTAATTTTTGGCTAAAATATGATATAAAAAAATTAATATATTTAGGATGATTTTTTAATTTTTTACAAAAAGATGTACAAAAAGTATAGAGAAAAAATATTTTTTGACTTTTTGGTATAGATTGTTAGTTTTTTAGTTTTTTTAGTGATTTTTTAGCTTTTTGACTAAAATCACCACTTGCCAAACGAGGCTTAAGTCTTCGTTTGGGAAGAGCTAAAATAGTCTGATTTTTGAGCTATTTTAGCCTGATTTTTTTTGCCTCGTTTGGT